CATCTGATCCACCTTTGCTGGGGAATACATAATTCATTTCTAGAGTAGGGAGTGGGTAGATGAGGGCAGCAGGGCAGAGAATTAATTATTTAGAAATGTGGGGGTTGAGGAGAAGCGGGAATCTCTGCACTGTCAGGCAGCTAGCAAGAGCCAAAACACCTGACTGTATTTGGAAGAGTTAGCAACTAAACTGCCACACACAGTGTGGGCACGGGAGCAGAGCGAGTTCAAAACCCAAAAGACGGACCAAAAACATAATATCATTCTTTTAAACTCTCATTATTTTGCAGAGACCAAATCATGATTCTTGAACTTTCAAGGTTGGTAGTACTTGACTCCATTGGATCTAGGTAAATTTGGCCCAAAGAGGCTGGTTGGCTAGGATTACAATATATAGGCCACTGGCTTGCCAGTGTCACATCTATGTTCTTTCTTGAGTTTTCATTAGGCTATTTCCCATGAATAATAGATCACCTTCCAGAAAGCAGATCCGAGATTCTGGGAGCTTCTTCACCAACCTTCCCATGAAGAACTCACTGTCAAAATTTTCTGATCGAATGAAGGCTCCGTATTTCTGGAATCCCACCTCGTAAGGTGAGAACTCCACCCATTCTACAGAAGGATTGACACACAAGATTTTTATTATAATGCTAAAAGACTAAGAAAAGAGAATGAGACTTACACAGATGGATAAAGAATTCACACATCAAATAAGTTTGTTCCTCATTGGTGACTGTAATTTGTATATGATAAGTCATACTACCCTCTTCACTAAACTTTGAGAGCTGGTTTCTCATCTCAGGTGAACATTGTCCCTCCAGATAAGAACTGGAAGGCCCATTGATGAAGCCCTGCATGGAACCCCAGGATTGAATGAATCTAGCTAATCTGACATAGAGGCCTATTGGTACCAAATGGCAATAGATTCATTGTTGTGTAATAGCAACTTCCAACAGGCTTGACAAACTCACTGCCCCAATACTGTGCTTTCATGATATTTAGTAGGGGTGTCCACTACACAATTAACTGAGAAGTCTGGCCTTATTGGTTAATCTTATCGACTACACACACTCCCTCCCCCTTTCCTGCCTCTGTCAAATGTATGCATAGCTATTATATAAAAAGTTATGAACGCATTACAAAAACATGCTTCTAAAGTCTGCATCAAGGTAGGGTTGACAAACAAGGGGTTTTTTTTCCAGTCAAAGGGTACATATCCTCCTATTTATCCTGGTTCAAATGTAGACTCACATCGCAGTGAGTAGACTCCCATTTATATATGAAGTCAACAGAGAGATGGAAAGTCAACAGGGAAACAAGACATCAGAACCGCAGGGAGTTCTGACTGGGGGCAGACAATGAACTTTGGGAATATACGGAGAAGGCAAAAGGAGACCACTTGATCCTGTACTTCAGGAAGTAATCAGGCACTGCACTGACATTTGTGAAAATGGGATCCCAACCTGCCCTCACTGGAAATACTGTAAGGAACATTTAAGTAACATATGACTGCTGTTAGACTAACAGTTATTTCGAGTTTTCATATCCCCAACTCATAACTCCGGTTATCTGAAGAAGTGGGCTGTGCCCATGAAAGCTCATGATACCATCTACATGTTTCGTTAGTCTATAAAGTGCTACCAGACCATTTGTTGTTTTTTCTGTAACAGACTAACTTGGTTACCCCCTGAAGCTCCAGTTACAGTTAAGTTTAGTTTAGAAAACAAGTACTAATTTTGTTTTATATGAAACCTTTCTGTTTCCATTATCCTTACTCAAGAGGTCTTAAATCTTAACCCTTGATAATAAAAGATAAAACTATTGTTTTCACTATAAATCTCTCTCAGTGCTATGATGTTACACAAGGCATGTGGTTCTCTTGGGGACAGCAGACCTGGTATTTGTGTGAGCATTCAGTGGAGGGGGTACAAATTTTGTTGATCTGCAAAGCTAAGAAAGGGCTGGCATGGCCCACAATAAATTGTTTTGGTGATTAACAAGCTGGTAGCGCAACAAGGTGACTCACAGTCCTGAGCATATTGAGAATTATCAGAAATGTTAAGGTCAAGATTTTCAAAATATGTGGTCCTAACATTAGACTCCAAGGCCCCAGATCCAGGCTTCTAAATGACATCATATCTGTTTAGATATTTATATGAACCTCCTTGCAGTAATATCAAATGGCAGTAGGGAAATACTCTCCGGCTGTGTCTACACTGGCCCCTTCTTCAGAATAGCCATGCTAATTTAGAACTTTGGAATAGGGAAATGCGCAGGGGATTTAAATATCTCCCGCGGGATTTAAATAAACATGGCTGGGGGGTGTCTTCCGGCTTGGGGAAAAGCCGGAAAAGAGCGTCCAGACGGGCACGATCCTCCGGAATAAAGCCCTATTCGGCTTTTCCCCAAGCCGGAAAAAAAGCGGCAGCCATGTTTATTTAAATCCCGCGGGAGATATTTAAATCCCCTGCGCATTTCCCTATTCCAAAGTTCTAAATTAGCATGGCTATTCCGAAGAAGGGGCCAGTGTAGACGTAGCCTCCCAGTTTTACAGATTGGGAACTAAGGCCAGGTCTAAACTAAATGGGAAGGTTGAATTAAGATGTGCAACTTCAGCTACATTAATTATGTAGCTGGAGTCAACGTACTGTACCTTAATTCAAGTTTCCCTACTGTCCCCATAGTGGGAGGCCAGGAGCAAATGCTCCCATCGTCTTCCCTTATTCTTTGCAGGAGGAGGAATACCGGCCGCTGACAGGGGCACCCTCTGAGTTTAATTTAGCAGGACTTTACTAGACCTGCTAAATGGAACTCCAGAAGATTGATTGTGGCTGTGATGATGTCCCCCCTAGTGAAATATGGCCTAAGATGCAAGGTGCAATAAGTAACTTGACCCAGGTTACATAGAAAGTGTGTAGCTGGGCTAGAAACTACACTCCATTCTTCTGAGTCTACATTCAACTTCCCTGTCCACATTCATGTGCCCTATCCACTAAATCATCTTTGCTCTTCTTCAAAACTAACAAGTCCCCATCAGATCCAAGGTAAGGGCAAATTCCTTCCCCATTCCAGTAAAAGGAGAGCTTTCCAGAACTGGTGCTGAGCAGTAGAGGATTTTTTTTCCCCTCTCAAAATTTCTTCAGCCTCTCTGACCAATAGAACTCAATTAAGAAACAAAGTAAATCAGAACACTGACCTCTAAATTTAAAAGTGTCGATCTGTTCCGTTTTGACATTGAGGATTGCATAGATAGGCAAGGGGTTCTGACCTTGGTCCACAGCCTTCTGCTGGTCTGAGAGTTTAGTCGCCTCTGGCTAATCAAGGAGTCAAAAAAACATCACCTTTAAATATAGGACTTTGGCACTTTGGTGAATTTTACCCACCCATATTTTTTAATAGTTGTATTTTAGGAAATTATATGTTTGTCTATACACACATTGTAATTAAAGGCTCAAAGAAATCATTTTCCTTAGCTAGAGAATAGCTAATACATGCTCCGGGAAGCACTTTACGTACCTCATCATGTAAAAACGCTTCCTGAACAAGTGACCACAGCTCTGTAAAAGATGAAATGTATCCTTCTTTTGCCCTCTCAATCAACTGCTTGTGATAATACTTCAAATGCTCCATGGAAATAGCATTTGTCTTACATTTCATCACCTGTTTCTTTGCTAGATTGATTGGACCTTCCAGAGTTTTCTGTGACCAGTCAGTGTTTTTGTACAAGTTGGTCATGGTCCTGAAGAAAAGAGGTGATGTTAACAAAACAAAAATTGGCTAAAAAATAAAAACATGTTACATTTATCTTGTATCTTTCACTCGAGGACACCGAGGCATTTTAAAAACTTTGAAGAATTAAATCTCATAACACTTCTTTAAAGCAGGTGAGAATTATTTATGGATGCTCTTGGTCTACAGTGTTCAGATCTAGATCCAATCTTCTTCAGAGTCTGGAGGTATTTAGTTAGATCTGAGGGTTTGGATTGTGCCTCCTGGACAATATTGCTATTTTGCCAGTGGAGAAAGCATTATTAAGCATGTGCTCCTACCCCATGGGAGCCAGGGCAGGGTTTCCACACTTCCCCAGGAGCAGGATTCCTGTCCTAAATACATCTAGTTGGAACATTTTTGACAAAAGTAAAATTACACTACCATATGCTGGTACAGCAAAGCACAAATATTCCATGAAGACAGTGTCACTGGTTTTAACCAGGAGGGAAATGGAAGAAACAGTGAGACTGAGTGAGCGCTTTCTTATAGCCTGGTTAGGGCACTGGCCTTAAAGTTTGCTACTCAAGAGAAGTGTCATCCTGTGGTCAGCTCTAGTACTAAGTAACTTCCCCAACGTTATCAGCAAGTCAGCGGCAGAGACAGGATTGGAAGCCAGATCTGTTATACAATGATGCCTCCCCTCCCTCCAGAATGGCACACATTACACAACCACACACTGCACCATTAATTTTCAAGATGATGCCCTTTGAGTGTTCTTCAATTGGCAACCCTTGGATGTAACTAATTGAGTAATAAACATTAACAATCAGAGCAGGTGAAAAAGTGATCCTTGAACATATTTAAACAGTGGTCTTACAGATTTAAGAAATGTGGCATTTCTAACAACAAAAAATCTAAAATAATCTGAAACTCATTTTACAGTGCAAGTATTCCTCTGCCAGGCATTCCTAAGCAGCTTCAAATACATGCTGATTGCCCTGCAAAAATTAAGAGTGAGACTAACCAACACCTTTGTTTATATACAGGACTTAGATGGGGGCTACACAAAAGTGGTGGGAAGATCATAGACTGTCTCTGTGTAAGGGCCAGTAGAACCTCGGTGTTTATAGGCTCTAAAACTGTCTTTGATCATTTGTTCTTTCAGAAGAGAGGAGCTGAAAAGGAAGATAAACCTGGAGAGATTTAGCAGTGCTACACTAAAATTGCTTTAAAAGCCAGCTCAGAGTTTTAGCAAAGGGATAGGATCATTCAAGAATACAAGGAATCTGAACCAATGGTTTTCAAACTTTTTTTCTCATGACAGAGCTGTAGAAAATCGTTGATGCCCATGACCTAACATAGTTTGACTAGAATGTGGGTTCCTGGGTGGAGTTGATGATGAGAGCTTTGCGGTATACGAGGGGGCTCTGGCTTTGGGGGGGCGGTCAGGGCTGGGGCACGAGGGGTTTACCTTGAGTGGCTTCCAGTCAGTGGTGCAGTGGAGGTGCTAAGGCAGATTTCCTGTTGCTCCTGGCACTGCAGACCATGCTGTGCCCCAGAAGCATCCAGCAGCAGGTTCCCAGCCAATGGGAACGTGGCGCTAGTGCTCAGGGCAAGGGAAGTGCATGGAGCTCTGTGTGCTCAGCCCCCTCCCCTCTCTTCCCACCTAGGAGCCAGGCCTGCTGCTGGCTGCTTCTGGAGCGCAGTGAAGTCTGCAGAGCCAGCATAGGCAGTTAACCTGCCTTTGCACCCCCACTGATCACCTGATCCCCTTGCAGCAACGACACCCTCTGCCTGATATTCAACAACCCAGTATTAGGTCGTGACTCATAATTTAAGAACAGCTGATCTAAACAAGCTACATGCGTTTGTCACTTGCATTGAAACGTCCCAGTCACCGCCATTGTGGAACTGCAGTAAGAACAAAAACAAAACCCTCTCCTGTCCTCACCATGTTGAGCCAGAAGTACCAGTGAGATATGTAGCGCAGTCCAAGAGATTCAGCTTCTGGAGACCTAAGAGGTGGCCATACATTGCTGACATTGCCCTGACACTGCCTCCTGTTGCCATGACAGCTATCACTGGGATCTGTTAAAAACAAACATTAACCTTTACATTTAGCTACGGGTCTACCCAGAAAAGTCCAACCCCAGCTCTTCAGCTGTGCCATTGGGTACTGCTAGAGAGAGGTTAAATAGAGCCAATGTTTAGCCAGTCCTCAGGGGAGCCATCTTTGTCATTGACAAGAAGGAGATGTGAATCTCAAAAGGTATATATATATATGGTTTCTATTAGCCTCAAATGAACCCTAAAAACGTTTACGTTTTTTAAGAATCCTGCCAAGTCTCATTCCTCTTCTCACCTCACACTCAGTAGCACCGTGATGATTCTTACCACATAAGGATTTGTCCTTTAGCATCAAGAAAAAATTTAAAAGCTCAAGTAATGAAAGGATTCAAGGAAATCATGATCTGCTCCATAGCATTCCGTAAGCTACAAATTGAGGGAGGGTGGGGGACGAAAGGATTCAAGGAAATCATGATCTGCTCTATAGCATTCCATGAGCTACAAATTGAGGGAGGGTGGGGGGCAAATTCAAATCAAATGAAAATTATTCTTAATTATTTTACTTACCTCTAATAAAAACACATACAGAAAGGGAAGTGTTAAATTCATAATACAACCTGGTTCAAAGCCGACTGTGGAAGAACAAGAATTTTTTTTTTTTGAAAAATCAAAAACAGAAAAATTTCAATTCGGAAGCGCAGGCAGGATGTCTTGTGGGAGTTGACTACCCGGAGTTTTGTGACCCCATTCTCAGCTATGAGCCTGGGTGCCTGGCTGGACTACATCTCTCATTTTTTAATAGCTGTATTATTACACACATGCAATACGAGACAGCATTTTTAACACTGTTCAGTGTACATAATTCCAATATCCTTAATCATCTTTAAATGTGACCCTTTGGGGCTCTGTTCAAACTCCATTGAAACTGTTGGATTTGCTTGCAACAGAGAAGTACTGAAGAAGATTGAGACTCTCCATATTTAAAATACATGTTCCCCTCTCCTAATCCCACCCAAGTCCCAGCTCTGACTAACTCACAAACCTCATGCTCTTGCAGATTTCTCTTCAACTGAAGAATCTTTTCCAGGGCACTTGCAACTACCTTCTTCCTTTTCTGCAAGAAATCTTGCTCCTCTGCACACAGATTATACCCTAAACGCACATCTAGTTGTTCTGGGCTGGAACACACATAATGACATGTAATCACACTAGCACAGGTCAGTTTATTACAATTTAAACATACAGTTTAGCAGCTTTAGTTAATTAAGTTTTATGAAGAATCCAGATTCACCATTCAGATTTAAAGACACACAAATCAGACCCACAACCTCGGAGCAAACAACTGGCATTGATCTCTTCATGCTTTTGCTTGGTAACGTTTCTATATTTTTCACTAGAAAGGCCACTGAGATGGAGTTTCAGCACATCTGTGGTACAGCCAACCTGAACACCCGCTTATTCTCTAGCATACGTGGCATTTCAGTCTCTGAAAGATAGCTAAACTGGAAAGAATCTCCTCTTCATGCCTCTAATTAGCTTTGTCGCCGATGCCCCTGTTAGTTCCACTATGCATCTTTTCTGAGTTATGGTGACTAGAACCAAACATAGATATGAAGCTGCAGCATTGAGCTATATCATGGCTACTCAATGTGTAGCCCACAGGCTGCATGCAGCCCATGGCTTGTTTGTTTGCAGACCACAGTGCAGTTTGGGTTTATGCAGGGCTCAATATGCGGCCCACGGATGGGAGCCAAAACAAAAAGTAGTCAATATAAATTTCTGGATTGTCATTGCTCATTAAAAGTGCTGTCATATGGGTGGAAATCAGGTAAATATTGAATTTTATTAATACCAGCAGAACTGACTTAAATGGGGCCTGTGTTTGTTGGATAGTCTTGCCTTAATCTTTGTATTTATGCCCGACAGTGTGAAAGAAGCTATTTGCATATATATTTGCATGTATCTGCAACCACACTTAAGTTGCAGCCCTCGACATGTGCTGTGAGTATCATTGTGGCCCCTGGGGCTTCCAAAGTTAAGTAGCCCTCATCTATACAATTGTATTACACTATGTTCTTTATGCATTTTACTTTTTCTGTTGCTTCTTTCTATTGGCTCCATTTGGGCTTGATTTCCATTTTTGGAAAGCAGCTGTTTGCCTCTTGAATGTTGTCATTCAAATCCTATCAGCTTTTTTTCCCTCTTGCTTTCCTGTTTCTCTGACTCAGTTGTGGTATGTTCAAGAAGGCTCCATCCTGAGTCCAGGGATTTACATTTTCTTATTTTTCACTCTAGGGCCTTTGGCGACTAGATGCTTCATACTTTTGAAATTCTCTTTTCCCACTGAAGATGGGATGTTCATTCATGTTGTGATTTCCCTCAAGGATGTGTACTGTATTGTGGTCTCTACTCTCTGAGGGCTCTACAATAGTGATCTCTTGAACTGGTGTATGTGTTACTTAGGATTAAGTCAAGAAGAGTCTCCATTCTCATGTGCTTTAAAATTAGCTGTCCGAAGAAGCAATAAGAAGTTTACGGAGAAAGAGGATTTCTTACCAATCATTTACTTGGAGCTGCAGCTTCAACTTTGTACCCTAAAAGCAAAGAATTGCAATGTTAAAGAGACAGGAACAATTTCAATTAATGAGGGATGGTGGCCTACTGAGAGGGATGGCTTTTCACACCCCAAGCTCAGTGTCATCTGAGATGAGTGACTTCCCACTTTCCTCCTTTGTTTTCCTTGGGAGTAGTAGGAGAAGGGGAGTAAATAAGCCTATTACCCTCAATACATGTTCTGGTCAGCCTAGTGAGGCATTGACAGCATTGTTTCTGGATGCACTGTGGAATGAGTGGGAAAGGCCAGCCACCTACCTCCCTGCTGATGACCAAATGGACTGGTGGAGCCCCAAGTCAGCTTGAGCAGCTGTGCTATGGCTTCCCCTCACACCAAGACATGTTGGAGGAAGGGGTCCAAGCAGCCCACTGAAGATAAGACAGAGGGAGAAGGAAGAGAAGTCCTGATATCCCCCCAAAAGGGTGCTAATGGTAAGAAAGGAGAATGCAGGGCTTGCTGAAGATGGGGAGGAGGGGGAGGGAGACACTGAGACTTCTAGGAAAGAGGGGATCCAGAAGGAATAAGACAGATTTTCATTTTCCCTTGTCCATGGGAGAAAGGCTCCTCAGGGATTGATTTCTTCACTCCCTAACCTCACCCCACACTTGCCATGAGGTGTGGAAAAGAGAGCAAAGTCCTAGCTGGCAGAGTAAGAGGCGATGATTAAATTGGCACTCCTCTAGCTCTCTGCCTGGTCTAATTAGAATGAGTAGGGCAGGAGGAGCAATCAGCTAGCCCACTGCAGGGAGAATGGGTGACACAAACATCAAATCAGCTAAACATTTTTAGAATAAGATTTAAAAGTATCCAGCTGGCCAGAGAGCACTGCTACTCCTGCTGTTCAGGAAAATTAGTTTGGAGCACACACACCTCATTCAACATCTTCACAGAGGGACATCCCATCAGTGTTCAGCTCAACAAAATGCAGCTACTCTAAAGACAGCATATGTTCCAAGATAGCATAGCAGAAAGAAAACCTCCATAACCTGACAGCTTTATCCCAGCTTCCTGTCCACCCCACCCGTTTATTGATAGATGAAGCAGATCACCAGTTGCTACAATGTTTAATAGTTATTTTCCTTTATTCGTTCATTCAATCAAGCTGTATCTTTGCCCTCTCCAGTAAAATCAAGGTAAATGAGCAAGGACTCACCTTTCCTACAGGAAGCTCTACTTTCACTTTCTCTCCCATAGCAAGTAATTTCAGGGGAACTATTAAGGAGTCATTTGAATGGTCTTCCTTCTCCAAAACACACTGGAGGAAGGAAGGGGAAAGTTTAACTGTTTTATCTGGAGGCAGGAAACATTTCTAATCTGTTGAACAAATTAGCAGCCCTGATTCTCTGTGAGTAGGAGAGTTGTATAAATGACAATGAAGAGAGGATATTACCTGCAGCTGGACTTTTAGTATTGGGTCCCAACTCTTTATGCAGTGAAAGCGGAAAGTATTCAAGTTCACAGTGGTTTTCTGTGTTCCTTCATATGATGCATCCACCATAAGCACAACATTTTTATTCTCTAGAGAAAATAGATTTATACACGTGTGATGCCAATGGACATGTGTCACCAGTAAGCAGAATTGAACCTGGACCTTTGGAGTTAAAGGCACGAGCCTCTACCACATGAACCAAAAGTCAACTGCCCCATAGATAAAGCTGTAGAGCAGACTCAATAGTCTGTCCTGCACTGGCTCTGGATTACATACGTCTCTCATCTGATGAAGTGCATTCCTAGCTTCAGAGACCTCCCAGCAGTTCATCCCAGATGAAACCCAGTTATCATGCTGACAGACCTGAACGGTCAGGATTGAACTTTCTACTGCATGGCCTTTAGGTGAGGCTGTAGAACAGACTCACCAATCTTTCCCTCAACTGAGGTACAACCACCACCAAAGTCAGCACACTTCCTTCTGTGCAGTCTTTCACACAAGCCTTTAGCTGGCTTCTGCATTGACAGCTCTCACAAGCCACAGTTAACCAAAAATGGCCAGCAATAGGTATTCTCATTCAATAAAAGGCAGTTTGAGACATATTGGCCTTCCCACTGTTGACGAAGGGGGGGAGGGAGTCCTCTCCCACTTTTTCCCACCCTCCAAGGCATACGTCAGCTTTGTAACTCTATCCCTTACAGCTAACACTTAACATTGAAAGAGGATCGATGCTGAAAAAAGGCAGCTCCGAGACTTCCACTGCCCCATATTTTATTGTCATTTAAAAGACTATTTAGAAACAGTCCTTATTGCCACTTACCATGCCTGCAGCTGGAAATAACAGGTTAATAAAGGGGCAGATGTTGTGGCCTGCTACCCTGGCCAGGAAATAGACTCACCTTTTAAATATTTTTTATTCTCCTCCTTGTCCACCTGAACTTCTAAGCAGCAAACTTCCCGTGACTGTGAGTGACAATCAGTGAAAGAATGGGTAATAAAGAAATCTACTAAGAATGAAGGGATGAAGACTAGACAGCTGTTGGGTTCTTGTGCAGTTTGTATCATAATCAGAGTGTGTATGTTAATTCCCACTGCTCCTGATCAACAGACATTTCAGGGACAGCTTATATTAAATCATTAACAAATGCACAATCATACAGCATGGCTGGAAAATCTGTGACCAGAAGATGCAAATCTTTCTCCTTATTGAGGAAATGAAGAGAAAAAGAAGAAAACATGCCTGTAAGAGACAACTCAAGATTGGCAGTTGTAAAAGGAGGCTCCTGGGGAGTGTGTGGTGCCAATGGCTCCTTCTACTGCTTGGCCTGTCCACTCCTTGTAGATGGAAACAGAGAATCAAATGGGCCAATCCTGACGGGCACCGCAAACCAGTGCAATGGGTTACAAAGCCACTCAAATGGAGGGGCTGGGGAAAAGTGTTTTCAAGCAAGACAGGAGGCTTTGAGGGTCAATGCAAATTCCATGCAAAATCCAAGACTGCTGGGAGGTATGGCCTAGAAGGATTGGAAAAGTTTCACATACCACCTTTTGGTAATAACACAAAAGGACTTCATGTTTGCAAAACTGAACTGGCTGTTTATTAAGAGCAGCTGCAACTACAGCTAGCATTCCAACCACGTGCATATATATAGACTTCCAGACACCACGTTCAAACTCTTCCCTCCTGCAACCTGTGCTCCTCACTCCAAGTTCCATGCAGGTTACTACAGGAAACAGCCTTGCCTTCACGCCACTCCATTTAAGGCTAGTGCCAACAAACAGTACCTGCATGTCTCAGCCACTTCGTGGCTGCCCTTTGAAGGTGTAGACTTAGGGCAAGAAAGGATATTTGCACCCTCCCTGCCCTAATGGTGCCACCCAGGGACATAAACAATCTCTCCCAAAATCAATAGAATAAAGCTGTTCATGGTAACTAGTTCTTGGCAGATCTAGAAAGAAACACTGCCTAGAAAATTCTGCTGATCTGGGGAACCGCTGCTTTTACAAACTATATATGGAGAAAAATCCTAAACTCATTTAAATCAATGACACTTTTCCCATCAACTTGCCAGGATTTCACACTTGGTGTGTTGAATTTTTCATTTCTGCATGGAGAAAGCAATGCTGAAAATTTACCAGATAGGAACATTGCTTTGTTTTCTTATTTTACACCCATGATACTACTTACAATTTTGACTTATGAGCGCTGTATAAAGTCCCGAAAAGATTTTCTGGCACAGGGAAAAGAAACAAATGAAGGGAAGATGCATAGAGAAGGAACAAAGGAAAAGTGAAATTTAAACTTACCACAAGGACATTGTTAGTTACTAGTTTCTCAGGAGGACCGGGACTGAAAAACAGAATGAAAAAAAAAATCAGTTTTACTGAGTTGAAGGATTTTTTTAAAATGAGCACATATAAGTGTATACTTAAGAACAAATGGCTTAAAAATTAATGCAAAACACTAGTATATTTTGAGAGCCCTAACATACGGAAAGAAATATGGGCACTCACTAAGCAGATTAAGCAAAACTTTAAAACAAAAACTAGCAACAGGAGGTTAAAACATCATCTTGAGAGAAAGACGGTCCTTAACAGAGCAGAACACCTAGATTGGTGCCCTGGTCAATGTTCCCTCTCCTTTTAAAATGTTTTAGTGTATATATACTACAGGGACTACAGACTACACTGAGCACAACATTTTTGTCCTTGAGTAAGCTTACATTTTTATTTAAGTGAGGACTGTGCCCAAGACTAGAGCTGAGGGAAGGAATGTACAGAGAGGTATGTGTGAGCATCACAACCTAGTTCCAGCAGTTGTTAACTCTGCCGCAGCAGTAGGGTTGCCAGATGGTTTCAGAAAAAATACCAAACAAACAAACAAACAAAAAAGGACCCCGAGAGTTGTTAAGGGGGAAAAAAAGTGTAGGCCCTTTAAGAAACATGTGGTGAGGCTTTTGGGCCCTAAGAGGCAGCTGGCAGCCACCCACCATCTTGCCGGACAGCTCCCCTGCAGAACCTGGTAAGCACTAGGGTTGCCAGGCTGCCTCCATATTGAGCCGGACAGCCCAGGATTTTCGCCTCCTGGCCGGGAAAAAAAATCAGAAAGTACTGGACATCTTAGGTGTTCAGTATTTTCTGAATGTTTTTACTGGACAGGAGGAAAAATACCAGACACCTGGCAACCCCACGCAGCAGTAGCCCATCTAGGGCTTAAAGGGCTTGAGGCCCCTCAGGTGGGCACTCCCAGGAAGAGGCCCGGTCCCACCTCCCTCCCTTGTTGTGTCTCAGGGCACTTGCAGCCTATTTTGGAATAGGGCTGCAAATGTAGGCATCAGAATTACAAATCAAGCCCGGGGTTTCAATATCCCATTCTTGATTTGCCTTTTTTTTTTTTTTTTTTTTTTGAAATTTACAAGCCTGGAATAACTGCCCGCGTCTACATGCAGCAGTGAAACAGGCGTTCAAAATAAAGCCCTATTTCGAACTACCTGTTAAACCTCATTGCAGGAGGAATAACAGGTAGTTCAAAATAGGGCTTTATTTTGAACGCCCGTTTCACTGCCATGTGTAGACACGGGCAGTTATTCCAGGCTTGTACATTTCAAAAATGGCGCCCGGCCGGGAAGATGCAAATCAAGCGCGGGATATTTAAATCCCAGGCTTGATTTGCAATTCCGAATGCCTACATTTGCAGCCCTATTCTGAAATAGGCTGCAAGTGTAGACATACCCTAAGCTTCAGCAACCACGGCAGTACTAGAAACCAGGTGCCAGGTAGGGATACTGGGGGACTGTGCCTTGGCCCCATCAGACCACAGCTCTGAAACTGCTACTGCCCTCACCTGGCACCACAGGGCCCTCACTGAGCTCCTGCACAAGGGGCATACTAGCACTGCCATTTCCTCCCAACCAGGGAACCAAGTCCTGAGACCACAAGCACTTCCCTCTCCCAGGCCATGGCCATGTGCAGAGCAGGTTCTTAAAAGGCTATGCTCCATCCCTGCTGTGGCACCTAGAGACTAATAAATATATATAATGAGCAAAACCTATTTCTTCGGATGAGATGATCTTGATTGGAGAAAAAAAACCAAGGTGCCACAGGACTACCTGTTGTGTTTAAAATTACAGACTAACACAGCTACCCCTTTGAGACTTTTAAAGGTCATAGTATTTCACCTAATGATTCCTGCAGCAAGCCTACAACGTCTTGAAGGGGAAAGATAGTCTGAATTTAAAGTTTTTGTGTGAGGGAGAAATTGTTCCAATGGTCAGTTACTCTCTTTGTCAAAACATTGTGCCTTATTTATTGTCTGAAATTTTCTAGCTTCAGTTTTCTCATTATGAATTTTTCTTGTAGATTAGAGAGCCCCAGCTAATATCAGAGATCTCCTCTCTATCTTGATATGTGTTACAAATGCTTATGTCACCTCATAACCTTCCCACAGATAAACCTAAATAGTTTTTACAGTCTCTTCTTATAAGGCATGTTTCCCAGACCACCAATTGTTCTTTAGCTCTTTTCAACATTGTCTTTGCAATTGGGTCAAGAGGACTGACACGTTATTCCAACAAAGGTGTCACTAATGCATAACACCACCTCCCTGTTTGATATTCGCCTACCTATTATACTTCAAATGCATCTTGTTCAAAAGAGTCCACTTTACCATGCAATGCAAATTGGTTTCTATAAACTAACTTATCCTGATCATTATTTACCAGGCCTGCTGATGAGCAGGGGGAAGGAGGCACAAAGGGGACAGTTGCCCCAGGGCCCAGAGATTCAAAAGGGCATGGCCACCACCTTCACTACAGCCGCAGTGGTGATGGCTACAGCTCTGGGTCCTTTAAATTGTCACTGGAGTGCCATGCAGCATGCTCCAGGCAGCTCTCAGGGCTGGCTAAGGAGTTGGGTGGGGAGAACAGCACATTGTACTCTGGGTAGCTCTGAGACTTTTCCGCTCAAGGCCCTGCCTTTCTGGAAGTGCAGAACCAATCCCCGTCTTGCCGATGGCCCAGAAAGTCTGTTATTTACCATTCCTATTTGTGTGTCCTCTGCAAATCTTATCAGCAATCATTTTATTTTCATCTAGACCACTGATAAATATACTGAATAGCACTAGACTGAGAACAGACCCCTACGAAACTCCACTGCAGCAAGTGTATAAACCAGACAAATGGTGCCAACGTGTGGTACAAACAAAACAAAGTTAAACAATAAAACTGTAATCTCAAATCTCCATTTCAAAAAAAAAAAGGAAAGGAAACGAAAGGAAAGGAAAGGAAAGGAAAGGAAAGGAGATATATTTCCAATATATATTATGTTGCAAATTTATTATTACCACCTGGCCAGGTCTACACTTTGCACTCAAGGACCTATACCCAATATATATTATGTTGCAAATTTATTACCACCACCTGGCCAGGTCTACACGTTGCACTCAAGGACCTATTCCTTTGGAATTGTACTTACATTTTCTCCATCTTGAATTCTACTTCCAGAGACTCTTGTTTCTGAAAAGAAAAAGGGACAATAAGAATCAATCAATGGTACCATCCCATTCAGAGCAGAAATATTCTAGCTTCACTTTCTGGACCAATTTCATCCACCGCTTCCTTGATGGAATATCAGGGGCGTTATCGGTTTATGCCTCCCTTTGCTGCTGGCCAGCAAAAATAAGAATTGAGTGAAAGGAAACTTACAGAACCTAGCAAAGGTGTTTCACCACCATTTGTTACATTCCATGGTGAGAATAAAATTAAGCTAAAGGGTAGAATGCTATTGATTCAGAGCACATACGATAATAGCACTATATTGGACAGAGCTAAATGATAACAAGCTGTTGGCGTTTTTAGCCTCTCACAAAGATGGTTGCTAACGGGGAATAATTTTTTTTCCTGAGTCTATGAAAAGAGATTAGCCACTGCTAATAAACATCTAGTGAAACAGGAAAGTGGTATCTGCTCATGCAAAGCCAAAGCCAGGTCACTGTGAGATGCAGAGGAAACATCAACATCCTGCTCAGCATTCCCGAAATGTCAGTCCTTACCTCTGAGTTCAAAGAGAATACCTCATGGACTACCTCTCCAGGCCTGATTTTAGCAACATCAAACAGCACAGTGAATTGTTCATCCTCCTTGGTAAATGAATCATCATCATAGACTGTCAATTCTAGGATATTCTGGAAGTAAATGGGAAGACAGATAAGAATTCTATATCCTAATTGAGACACCCCAAAAATAGGAATCTTGTTACAGTTTCTTTCAGCTGGGAGAAGGAAAGACTAAAGGAGGCAGTGGATTCCTTCATGAGCTTAGCCATGCAGAATCCTATTACTAAGTGAATTCCAAGAAACCAGACATATACAGCATATAATGATCCAGTCAGTGTCTTTTTAATCATCTGTTATATCCTGATGGGGAAAATGCTCTCTCTCATCTGCCTTTGCTGTCACCCAATTCACAGACCAATGCTTTCAGCTTCTCTGTAACCAAAACTCTCAATAAATCACCTGATTGCTGCTGTTTTACTCTGCACAAGTCAGCTCATTAGAGTTTGGTTTCAAGAGCATTTCCCTAATTTGTCTAGCATGTTTTATCAGCTGGATTTAAAGTGAGGCCTTTGGCCTCTTTGGAAGAATGAAATCTTATTGTCTTAACTACCTTGACCTCATTCTGGATCCTGAAGTAAAATGTCTCATTCCAGACAGGGTCATCATCATTCTTGATAGTTTTGGTCTTGACCTTTTTATTTGAAGCCGTTGGCAGCCACAAGCTCACATAGCAATCAGATGCAGTCACTAAAGAAGAAAAAGAAATGACATGCCAGCATTTTATATCAAATACCTAAAACTTGTTTCAGTCTTAGAAAAGACGGTGAATGACATTACCCAGAAGGCTTTGGGGAGAAAAGAGAAATTGTCTATTCCAGAGAAGGGGGAAGAGAGAGAGATGGGTGGAAGCCACAGAGTTGTTCTCCATCCACTATTTGCTTCTGACACTGGCTATTGCCTTATGCTTCAGAGGAAGTTACAAGAAACCCTGCAGTGCACCATCACCAAATAACCTGTGCACACAGAAAGTTTATTTCTAACCCATTAGAGGTTAGCTTATGTCCTAAAGGGCAAGGGCCATTTATAGCTCTTCAGTAACTCTAGGCTATTTTTAAATCTTTATTATTATGCATACATATAATCTTATTATGTATACACACTTATTTGAATCATTCTGGAAACTCACTGAACTGCCCTTCTGTTCAGGGGCTTTGTTTTAAAACTCTGTCTGAAAAATTTCAAGACACAAAGAGCCATTCAAAGATACAGTGTTAGGTCTGTCTTGAAGTCAGGACCGGGCCAGGATTCTGCATAGCTTTCTGATGTGAGGGGTCTCAGGACTCACATATCACATCTCAGAGTGAGATGGTTTAACTGGGCAGGTCAAGGATACTTTCCATTAGGGGAAAGTGCAGGAGAAGGGGGCTGAGCAACTAGAAATGAGGGTTCAAAGTGCCTGGCTTTACTGAGATATTCAGAAGGGTTTCTCACCAACTATGGAGAATCTCTGCAAGCGGGAAGTGAGATGGTCTCACAGTACATCTTCCAAAGAGGGTCAGAATAGGCCCTGGGGAGGGGGAATACTAATTAGGGTGCTAATGCTAATTAAGAAGGGTATTCACAAGAATACTGGCTCTGAAGGTTGCTTTTCCTGTCAACGGAGAATCAATATCATGTTGTGTGGCTGAGAATCTGGCGGCTGAAGAGATCCCAGAAGATAGGGGGTTTAGGCCACTCAGAATTCTCTGCATGATCTAGGGATTCTGAATGTCTGTGGTACCTTATAATATCCTTCTAAAGCATGTGGGACCTTTGCATTTCACACCAGACTGGCCAGTGAAACACCAGGCTATGACTTGATTTACCCATCTGCACAAACCATAAACAAACTGTCCCAAACATATTAACAGACTGCAAAGGGTTTCTCGCCAACTATCAGGCATTTGATGGCCCCTGGAGATAATCCACGTGCTACCTCTTCAATTATACTGCATTTGCTTCTCAAATACATTGCTCACAGTCAGTGAGCCCTGGAGAGTACTGAAGGAAGAACAGAACTCACAGAAGTCAGTTGAGGTGATGTTCCTGGCTCGTATGACTCTCACAGAGAGGAGGCAATTGGGAGAGGTTTTGATCTGCAGAGAAACCAAACATGAGTTTCATCAGCATAAAATAACATTAAATTTCAGAAGGGTATCTGTGTTAGTCTGTTTTAGCAAAAACAACAAGGAGTCCTGTGGCACCTTAAAGACTAACAAGTGTATTTGGGCATAAGCTTTTGTGAGCTGGAGCCCACTTGGTCAGATGCATCTGACAAATTGGGCTCCAGCCTACCAAAGATTATGCCCAAATAAATTTGTTAACCTTTAAGGTACCACGGGACTCCATGTTGTTTTTACATTAAATATATTCCAAATAAGACAGGAAAGGCGTCTTTATTATGTGCTTTTATTCTTCTACTAGCAACTATTGATTGTCTTAGAAAGTTTTGTTGCATTACTGCCCCATCACTGTTACCCCATGTGACAGGGCATGTCGGCCCCACACCCGGGCCATGGATGCGCGAGCAGCGCGGCGCCCGCCTGCCCCTCCCCCCCAGCGCTGTTGTGCATGCTCCTGGCAAGCACCGGGAGGTTTAAATGCTGGCGACTTGGGTGCGGAAGGGAGGAGAGGAGGGCAGCTGCAGAAGGGAGGTAACGCATGGCTGGGCAGAGAAATGCCACCGGTTGGAGCAGGAGACAGGGTGGTTCAGCCCCCGCCCCGCCCGCGATGCCTGAGAGCAGAGACCCAGGGAAACCTCCGATGGTGGGAGGTCCCGGGACCGCCTCTTTTCTCCCCCAGAGCCTGCCCCATTGCTGGAAGACTTATGGAGCCGGCAGCCTTTGAGCGAGGTGAGCTCCACTGAATGAGAGGAGGTGGCTGCCATCAGGAGGCACTGAGCGGTAAGCCTAGCGCAGGTAGGAAGTGGCCCAGGGTAGGGTAAGGAGTCCTGAGAGGTTGATGGGTTCTGGGAACTTGGCCCCCGTCAACCAAGCGGAGGTAGTAGCCCTACCTTTAGGGCACTGGGCTGGGACCCGGAGGCGAGGGAGGGCCCGGGTCTCCCTACCTCCGCTCACTGGGTGACCAGCGACCCCGGAGACGGGAATGCAACACCCGGGCGACCGAGCCAGGTAGTAAACCTTGGAACCAAGAAATGAATAGTTTATATGGCTGAACTGAGGACCCTGGCTGTTGGCCAGATTGGGCCAAGGGTGGAGGTTTATTGGGATGCCCACAAGGGGAAGGATAACCTGACAGAGCCAGTGGTTGCCCGGTTCTAGGTGGGAATCCCTTTGGAGGGCTAGAGTAACACAGGAGCTGTCCCCCAAGGGGTGCGACCTCCCCCACCATGGGGCACCCCAAGGAACAGCCTCTGGATACCCCCAGAAAACTGGTTTTTAAAATGGTTCTCTCCCCTCCTAGTAAATGTAAAATGAAGGAATCCTAGTCTAATAGCAACACATTATGCCAGAGAGTGTAATACAGGCTATTGGGTACATGTCTTGGATGGATGAAGAGGAGCTGGGAGGAGCCGTGGTCTCACTCCTGACAACAAAGCATTTACAACCAGTTCAGTGTTGTCTCTTTCTTCAGGTTTCTTAGCTGTGCTGACGGCTGTCAACCATGACCATGCTGCAGAACTGCTGGCAGCAGTGCACCATCAACCCAAGTTGAGCCAAAATTGGGCCTTACATGATACCAACCCTGGTAGCAGGTAGCTCCTTAGAGCTTATTTACATAGATATTTATATTATTTCCCACTGTGAGGTTTACAGGATCTTTTGAAAGAGGGTTTATTTTTCGAAAGATCCACATCTAGACTGCCGTTTTTTTCAAAAAATCTCACTTTCAAAAAAAGCGGCAGCCATGTTTATGCTAATGACGCACGGGATATTTAAATCCCCGCTTCATTAACAATTTCGACGTGCCTAATCTACATCTCTCTGTTGACAGTGAGGTGTAGTCTAGACGTGCCCAAAGAGGGGTGACAAGGTGAAAGTGATAGGCTAGCAAAATTAGCTTTCACCTGCATTCTGAATGGATATGAATGGGACAAGAGTGCATTTGTCAATGATAGAGAGAAGGATGATGCAAAAATCAAGATGTGAGATGCTGAGAGACTGGGTAAGAGTTTTAGCTGTGTGGATGGATAGGAAAAATGGTGCCTCAGAGTTGTTACACAGCAAGTATCTATGCCTTGGTCTACACTAGGGAGTTATTTTGAAATAACAAGCGGAGTGTCCACACTACCAAGCCCTTTATTTCAACAGGCTGGTTATTTCAAAATAATAACTCCTGCTTTCCATGAGGAATAATGCTTATTTCAAATAGTTAGTTTGAAATAGCGGTAGTGTGGACATTCCACTACTGCTACCGTATTTTCCGGCGTATAGGGCGACTGGGTGTATAAGACGACCCCCTATCTTTTTAATTAAAAGATAGGGTTTCATCTTATACCCCAGCGCCCCTCCGCCTCCTTTGCTCCCGGTGTCCCTGGTCTGCTGGAGATGGTCCCCAGCAGACCAGAGGCATTAGTTTGAAATAGCGGTAGTGTGGACATTCCACTACTGCTACCGTATTTTCCGGCGTATAGGGCGACTGGGTGTATAAGACGACCCCCTATCTTTTTAATTAAAAGATAGGGTTTCATCTTATACCCCAGCGCCCCTCCGCCTCCTTTGCTCCCGGTGTCCCTGGTCTGCTGGAGATGGTCCCCAGCAGACCAGAGGCAGCTCCGGCGGGGGGGCAGCCCATGCGCGCCTGGGATGCCCCCCCCGCCGGCTTCCCCCGGCGCTTTTC